GTGGGTGGGAAGGGAGGGCGGGGGCAGAGTCGGTGTGGGTGCCAGTCGCGCTCTCGCTGCTTCAAAGCGATGCTTTTCGGCCCGACAGAGAGGCGACCAGGAAGGGCGAAACGTGCGCGCGGGGGTGGCTGCTACCAGCCTGGACAGCGGGGAAAGGGATGGCCGCGGTAAGAGAGCACTTTCGAAGCTCGAAAGAGATGGACGAATAGATACACGCAGCTGACCAGTGGTGTAGCTCGAGTACGTGCTCCGTTTTCCATTCCCTTTGGCCAACTCTTTTACGTATGGTAGTAGTATACCAGGGAATACGACCGTGTACCTCGAATCGTCCAATAAACAGATACCAGATACACGAATAGTATATCGTGTAGCTTTTCTCTTTTACGTGTACAACTATTATCCGGTCCTTTTTTCTACATATATCGGTTACGAATGAATGTCACATCGGCTGATATCGGCTGTCTCGCCAAGATGTATCTTACGACGAATGGAAACGATTCTCTCGCGGCAAAGAGAGAAATCTCGCAGCTGGCTACGCCACTGGTTCTACCGACTGAAAAGAGTGAGAGAAAATGGGTGGGCAAGGATGGAAGCTGGCACAGTGATGAGAGAACAGGAGGGGAGGGGCAGCAAATACGGGGAGAAGGCGGGTGGACGGAAGAAACGACAGGGCGAGAGGGAGGAACCGCGAGGGTTAAGCAGAGAGGGGGTTAATGCTGGTTCTCGCGGAGCAGAGGGAGACAGCAGGGGGAGGGAAATGGATCGGATTGCGTGGTCGGCACGAGGCTGGTTAGTATGAGTGCAACGGGATAAAAGAGAGAGCAAAAGTAAGAGGGCAAGAGATAGAAATGCGGTTAGGGATGGAAGCGCGCGTGTGTGGGTGGAAAAGAGGAGACGAGAGGAGAGCCAAGAAGGCTTACGTCGGAGTGAGAGAAGGATACGTGAGAGAGAGTGAGAAAGTTTCGAGGTAAGACTTCGAGGGATACGAGCTTGACTTGACAGGTGACAACCGATCGGACCACTGACGTCACAGATCACTCGCTCGGCCGTGTACGCTACACGCACAAACACGATTTATCGCAGCACACATACACGCACATAGGAGAGAGAGAAAACGAGAGAGCGCGCGCGCGTTCGACGTGTCGTGCATCACGCCGTGTTACTTCCGTTCCGTGCACAGAGTACGTCATACGTAAGCTTTCCACGCCGCGAGAAAAAAAGTACCGCGCGCGAGAGGGAGAGAGAGAGAGAGAGAGAGAAAAAGAAAGAGAGAGAGGGAGAGAGAAAGAGAGAGAGAAAGAAAAAAAAACTGGCATGGGATAGACAGAGACAGATGGGAAACTAGAAAAAAAAATAACGGTGCGATAAAGATAGGGGTGAAACGGAACGAGGGAAAAAAGAACGAGGTAAAGGGAGACGAAATTTTTCACCGGAAGTAAGTAGTAAGTATTTACGATGCTAACCGGCCGATAGCCCCGCGCGACGCCTCTATCTGGTTACCATTACACTCGGATGTATGAAATGCGCCAGCAGCATACACCATCCCCCCACAATAGCCCTATTTATGATTGGGCAAAATTGCTTTCCATGCGCAGAATAAAATCGCGCGCGGGCGAGGAAAAATCCGCGGGGGTTGGATGCACGCGAGTTACGCGACCTGCGCCGCGCTCCTTCCATCGCGATGTCTTCGAATTCTTCAACGAGGACGTCTCGCCGCTGTATACGAGTCCCTTCGATTCATCATTCACGCGTGAATGATCTTTGTTCTTTTGATTTTCTTTATGACATCGACTCGCAAAATTTGGGAAAAATTAAATATGGCGAGAGGTCGCGGTCATGCGTACTTACACGCGCCTCCAGCCCCATCTTCTAGCTCGCCAATCAGCGAATGTGAGCTGATTTCAAAGAAATTCCGTCTGCAGCGCTATCCTCGTTTAAGGGTGTATCGTGTATCGAGAAATTTTATAAAGATAGGTACCCTTAATTACGCCGGAAAGAATCGTAGTTTTTCTTCCCGTGTTACCCCATCGTCTCCTTCGTGCTTCATGTAGATCAAATACGATCGACGTTGTAGCGTAATTATAGTGATGTTAATTTAATTATTTTTATTAATTTCCAAAGTATGGCGACATTTGCTTCAATTATCATATATATATATACATATGTATATATACAGTAATATTCTTCAGAAAGTGAAATCATCGAATTTCTGTAAAAAATTGATGAATATTTTTATTTTCTTTGCATATAAAAATAATATCCAAAATTTAAATAGAATTCTGATTTAATCCATATTGTAAATATATAATCGTGATAATTAGCAACCCTTCTCTTATAAATCTTATAAATATTACAAGTAATTCTCAAATATATGAAATATTTTAAACGGTCTAATATCGCAGCATTACGTATGATTTAGTACCTATTAATTTTGGCTCTACATTAAGGTCAAGGATGCAGATTTCAACGTAAGAGCTTGCAACTCGTAAAGTTCTTTTTCTAATCTGTAAGAACAGCGATATTACGTCAGTGATTGTACTGTACAAAATAATTATCAAAGAGCAGAGAATTTGTTATTTTATACCTTCTTTGATGATCTTTAATATTATTTAAAGTACGCACAAACTGCTTAATCCCCTCATTAACGCTTTGATATGATTCAATTTTTGTTCCAATTAAATCTACGATAGACTTTAAACTCTCTGAACACGATTTCAAGGCTTGTTTTGTTTCTTCCCACTCCTCGGGTGTCTCAGGAAGAACTATATTGTCGCAACGAAGTATATCCAGAGGTTTTAGAAGATTATGTAACTGCGATAGAATTTTCTCTAATAGTTTATTCTCTTCTCCTCCTGTAATTATAACAAGTTTAATTATTTAAAAACATGTAGGTAATTCAGTGATACGCGAAAAGATGGTATTTAGGTAATATTTACTAGTGCAATTATTCACATCTAGAATTTGAGAATCAATTTCATTTTGTATCTCGGTTAAATTTATTATATCTCTTTCTCTAGTTTTTAATTTAAACAATTTCTCTTCGTTGTGATCATATTCCTTGGCTATCGTGGCCAGCTGAGATAAAAACAATTTCTCCTTTTCTTCTGTTTTCTTTTTTAGAATTATTTCTGTCATAATCTTTTGTAAATACTGATCGTAAAGGAGTTTCAACTCCATGTCGTTGCATTCTGAATCCATTATTTTTGTTCCATCTGCCATTGATTGCATAGAAGATATCGAGGTACGATCCAATGCAATTTTCTTTTTTGGGAAACCTAGATGGTACGATTGGTTTAGTATTTTAACTTTGTAGAACTTTAACATAACAGGAAGTCAAAGTAAAATTTTTACTCTGTTGCGAAGCAAAATCAGATGGGGCCATTGTTGCCCTATGGTGTGAACTACCTGCACGAACATTTGTTATGTGATCCACTGTATTCTTTTTTACTGGTTCTGGTGTAGAAGTCTTTTGTATCCTAAAAATATATAAAAGATTACTACTCGAGAAAAAGTAGTGTTTTGTGTTTACCTCCTAAGTCGTTTCAGTTTTGGTGTTTCCGCCTGATCTTTCTGCATTTTTTTATTAGCGATTCAGTTAATTCAATCCTTATTCAGTTAATCTAGAACTTTTAATTGATAGGACGTATGTCGCGACAGTGCTGATAATCTCTTATATGCACAAAGCTTGAAGAAATTTCAAGTTAAGGTTTTACGTCATATCGGAAAGTACAACAAAGTCGCCAAATTGTCAGTTTGAAATTGTTCGAATTTTTTCCAACGCTGGTGCTGCCATCTTTGCATATCTAATTCCTGAAAATGTTCAGAATGAAATTCAGAAATTCGTGGACAAAACGACTTCTAATTCAGAAATTCTGAATCTGAGTCTGTGGTTTGACGATATCAGTGATTTGTTAATAATTATTTTAGATTTACTTTTTTAATCTGTAATATACGTACCATGGAGAAGGTATTTTTTTTCTTAATAATTTCATAATATTAAATTTCAATTTCATAATATTAAATAATAAAATATATTTATTTTTTAAACGCTTTCAGCATCCTAAACGAGAAATTCCATCAATGTTAAATAAAATACTAGACCGTGATGTCCAGTTAACAAGAAGTGTTGTTAAATGTGTAGAAAATTTGCCACTAATGAAAAAGTTAAGAATGCATTACAAGATGTTAGAGGTACGTTTTTACTTTGGTGCAAGATACGAAAAATATAACAAAAGTATTATATAAAAAATCAGATTTCTTTGTACACGAGTTTCTAACTTTAATTGTGTTATTTGCGTAGATATCTTGCCACGCAGTACCCTGGATAACATCG